AAAACATTTAAAATAAGGATCTGGAGTACAGAAAATGCTCAATGGTAGTCTCTACTGTTGTTATCATTGAGAATACCAAAGACGGATAAGGGATTAAAAACAAGGCTTGAGCTCAAAACATCACTCTAGACGCCAAGTCCCTAATACCACAACATTATATTACAACTGTTTCACTTGCTTGTGTGTACTAACAAACTGAATTCATTCTAGAGAATGTCTAGAGAATGGTAGGAATGTAACAAATGTCTTCTGAATTGAAATAATTATTTTAAATATCATATTATACCCTCATTTAATAGTGTCTTGTGCCATTTAATCAAATAATGACTAGGGAAAATGATTACAAAAACATATGGAACATAGACTATTTGAAAAATATTATGGGCTTTGTGTCCATTTTCAGATCTAAAAGTTATATAGGCAGTGAGAAAGATACACAAATATTTAACTTTCTAAAATGTCATATTTGAATCACTTTACTAACACATATATGAAGTTCCGTTAGATAGTCCAGACATCTGTTTCCTTGGCCAGAAAGTGTAGGCGTTTGTGGAGATTTTAAGCAAGCATTAAACAACAGCTTCTAGAATCTCATAGGCAGCCTATATGGGGGCAGGAACATGGGTGTTCCTGCTCACTCACTCTCTCTCTCTCTCTTTCTCTCTGTATATAGATAGATAGAGAGATAGAGATAGAGATAGATAGATAGATAGAGATAGATACATATACACACATGTATAATCTCAAGTCATCAGATCCCCACTACCACCTCCTGATTTAATATTTCTCAACTCAATGTGTTGAGAAGTCTGTAATGGACTTCACTAGTCCTTGGCTAGATAGTGTACCTTTCTTAAGATGTCACTGGTAAAGAGACTGTAGTACATAGCACACAATTTTTGATTCCTTGAGTAAGACAAAGTGAATATTTTAAGATTTCAGGAAAGGAAGGTCTTGTTTATGAATTTAAAGAAGAGATGAATGGGGCTCAGGTTTTGTGAGAGACATTGTTCTTGTTGTTAACTATCATTAGATTTAGATATATAAGATATAATAGATGTGGATATACATAAGATATGGTAGACAGAGCAATGGAAGGTTACAGGTGGAAAACTGAGAAGCGCAATGCCTTGAAGTAGACTAGATGTATTTAGAAAACAGTGTTGCTGTAATATTGAATGATTCCATGGAGGAACAAAGATGTGATTATCAATGATGAGCTGGGGTAAGGCTACTTCAGAAGTCTGGTCCCTAGACAGTGCAGCCCTGTGGAGCACCTGACTAGGGGACTGTCAATTAATCACACAGTCCTGTGTAAGAAAGGAACAGCTTAGAAAAGGAGAAACATGAAACGATGACTGGAATGTTCTAACCAAGAAGGAAAGGAGTTCAAACACATTGGATGGTGAAAAAAATACACTGGGACATGATAAATTATACAGGTCTCTAGGCATTCGCACAGAATGAGACCAAAGGAGATCACAAAGAAGATCACAAAGTCACAATAGCTGTGTGCATATGATCATATACAATAATATCTATCAAAATGAACTGTAGGAAATGGAAACAAGGGTTTTTTTTTCCTTTGTTGCTGTTTTTTGTTTTATTTTCCTTTTGTCTTGTTTGTTTATTCATTTGGGGGAGGGTAAGGAGGCTCAGAAATGGTGAGACAGAGGAGAAAAAATGCAGCAGTGACACTCAGTAGACACCATGTTGAACTATACAACTTGTGGGTAGGGACAGGAGGGAAACACTGGGAGAGAGTGAAGGAAGGGGTGACATTGTTCAAAAAGAAAAGCACTCTTTATTTGACTTATATAATTGTAACCCCTCTTTACAATAACAAAAATTCATAAAATGAAAAAAAATAGAGAAAGGTGAAGCAAATGTTATTCTGACTGACCAAAAGATGAGTACCTGCAACTCACTGGGCCCAAAGAGGAGCTGACCTTTCTTCTCATCAATACCCAGACAGAGCCTGTCCAAGCATCACAAGTTGGTCCGTGGACTGAAATCGCAATTGACGTCAGCTGTGGGTTGGATATGAGGTGGGGTCCTTTGTTCATTTTATTTTATTTCACTCTCTATCTGCCCATCCTGACAGCGATGATTGATGGGCAGCAGTTTACAGATGAAACACTGTAAACACACAGAAGTCAAAAGACCTGCCCACGTTCCACACTATAATTGGTGAGGATGAACAACCTAGCAAACACGGATTGAAGTAGAACCCACTGGCAGCCACCAGTGAACACACAGTCCCTGCTCTGAAACTCAGACCTCACTCCCAAGTTGGTCCATTTCTTCTTTCCACCACAGCTTTCCGCTCTCATGAAAGAATTCTCAGTTCTGACTCAGTTACAGCATTTGCCAATGCTATACAGTGCTCACATTGCTAAAGGAAGTCACTTCTTGACTCAGTCTTGTGTTTTTATATTTTCTTCTAAAATGGCAATGATCGCAAGAACGGCTCATTCATTATTCATAGTTTAAGCAAGGAAAAGCTGGTGTTAGCTCGCAGACCAACATAAAGGAATAGAACATCAAAGCTTAAGCTTTTCACTCCCGCAGCTTCACCTCTGCTGTATCAGAACAAGAAACTTCAGTCTGAAAATAATCTGCCAGATATCAGAGTACAGAGTACAGAAACACCTCTCTTATATCAAAGTAATTACCTTCAAAGGATCACACTAGAAGGAAAATAAATCAGGAAGTGATTTGCCTGTTTTTAGTATTCAAGATACTAGGAATTAAAATATACATGTAGAATTCTATGATAATCAAACATTTCCTCATTCACTTAATAGCTATTATTGAATACTTGCAAAGCATCAGGCAATAATATAATAATGATATAATAGAAACATAGAAATTACTGAGACAGGGCCATTTCAAATGGCTCAATGGTAGAGCATAAGATGCAAGAAAAAAACAACACATTTCTAACTAAGGGGAAGGTGCCTGCTAGAAGAACATTCTCCATATGCGTCTTACATTTCTGCCTATATTGTGAATGAAATAATGGCTATCCTTTGTCCTATATTCTTTTGTCAAGGATATTTGTATAGCAAACATCCTCAGAAAACAAAATAGTATCTGAGTTTTGGGGGAAAAAAAGGTCAGATTTGCTTTCAATTTTGGATGATAGAGTATTTTATTTTTTACAGAGTAAAGGGTAGAAACACTTACTGACTGTCAAATACAATAATTCTTGCCTCCAGGGCAAGGGGCAGATGTTTACTACCCATTATAAAATATTATAGTTCCCTAAGCTCTATGATACTCTCCTGCGATGCAATCCACTCTGCAGTAACACCTTTCTTCCTGTCTTCTTGTGGGGACTTGCGCTCAGGATAATGGTTCAAATATGTTACTTTTTCATAAGCAATTAACTGTTCTGACTTAGTAGTCCCATGTGTTCTACCAACATCTATAAAGCTAAGGTAGATTTGGAAAAATTCATATTAAGTGAAGTAAGCCAGATCCAAAGAAACATAGATCCCATGGTATCCCTCATTTGTAATAATTAGTATATGACTAGGATAGTCCTAGCAGATAAGCAGAATGGCTCAATAGGTATGTCTATATGACCATATAAGATGATGTTAAGTGAAATGAACTCCAAAGTATGTAAACAAGAGGTTAAAGTATTTAACTAGAGTAAAGTATCAGACGCTTGATAGTTCTCTTTTATAGTGAAGGTGATAGGAAAGTTCATGAGGAAAGGAATGAGCTTCCTTTTTAAAAATTAGTTTTCTATTATCTTAAAAAACACTTTGTTTTTTATTTGTTTTATAGTGCTGGCCCTCAGCTGGCTTGAACTCAGAGAGCAGGCACTGTCCCTGAGCTTTTGTGTGCAAGGTTAGCACACTTGAGCCACAGCTCCATGTCTGGCTTTTTGGGTGGTTAATTGGAATTAAGAGTCGCATGGACTTTCCTGCTTGGCTGGTTGTAATCTTCAGATGTCAGTCTCCCGAGTGGCTAGAATTACAGGAGCCACCAAGTGCCCAGCATACCAAAGGGTTTTAATTAAATCTCAGTTTATGAATATAATGCACCTTGAATAATAAACTTCCAATAGAATGAAAACAGGTCATCACTAGGGTGAGAATAACCTCAGAGTCTTCATAGTTTCTGACAGCTCCCATAATTTGCTCCCATAATGACCAATTCTTCCCCTTCCTGCGTTATTCTGGTGATTGAATTCAGGGCCTCACATTAACCAGACAGGTACATTATTGCTTGAGTCACACCTCAACCCAATACCACGTTTTCTTTTTTTTTTAAATAAGCTTTTTATTGTGAAAATACTGTACAGAGGGGTTACAGTTACATGAGCACGGTAATGAGTACATTTCTTATCAAGCATTGTTGCTTATCAAACATTGTTGTTGTTTTTTCCCTACCATCCTTCCTTCCCTCCCACCTCCACAACTACACCCCCCACCCCTCCACCCCTAATCCCCTACCTAAATTGTAAAGTTCTTTGTTCAACATTGTCTTGTACCTCTCATCGTTAACAATGGGTCAACCTGTATCCCTATTTAAACATTTTGTTTTTTCCCTTCCCCTCCCCAAATTATACCAACATCAAATACAGTTATACCATGGGGGAGGAATATACAAAAAAAGAAAAACAGAAAAAAACCACATGGTCCCTTATAAATACGTTAGAAACAATAGCAAGAGAGGAAAAAAACCACGTGTGTCCCTAGCTTGGGGTTCATTTCGCTTAGCATCAGCTTGTCTGGTCATATGTAATAGCTGGTCCCAGACATACACTAGCTATGGCAGATAAGGGAGACCCAGGACCACAGAGTGCCCACTTGGCTCACGCACAAAGCGCATTTGGGTCTCCGTCGTGGGTCCCTGTCAAGCCCGTTTCTCGTTGGAGATCTCAGGTGTGGAAAGGACCGCCACTGGCCTCTGTGAACGTCCATGGCACAGGGGGAGATGGAACACGGCTGTCCCAAGAACCGCGCGCCGCCCCGCTTGCTTACCCGGAAGTAGTCGCTGCACGCGGCCAGCACGGCCTTGTGCGCGTGGAACTTCTGCTCCTCGGCGATCAGGGTGACGTCGCACAGGATGCCATCGCTCCTCTGCTGGTTCAGCGCCGCCAGGACGCTGTCGTTGTGCGATTCCGAGTGGCAGAGCCGCTGGCCTGTCAGCATCTCCTGAATACTGCAAGGGAGTGCAATCAAGTCAGCTGTGTTCCGGGCACAAGCCCTCTCCTGGATGCTCTCTCTCCCCTCCAACATGGACCCCAGAAACTTAGATGCTAATGCACCACCTGAGTTGGCCTGCACTTCCCCACAGTTTTTCCTCTTCTCATCTCTGGACTCTTTCCTTTTCCCCCACGAAGTATCTTTCTCTCTCTGCTAGGGTCCCCTGATCTGAGTCTGTGTGTGTGTGTGTGTGAGTGAGTGACAGAGAGAAACAGAGACAGAGACAGAGAGATGGAGAGAGAGAGAAAATGAGAGAGATGGAGACAGAGACAGAGAGCATTTCCCACTTCAAGATTCCCTCTCTGATTCTTTGTCTACCTTAATACATCAATAGTATGTTCCTACCACATAATATCTCCAATTAATACATGAAAATTAAGCATATACTGACTAGGGAAAAATAGCTGTAGGTGATCACTGCATAATAAAAGGCAACTAAACAACTAGCTTATTATTAAACATAAGAAACCAGGCATCACAAGTTGAAATTAAAATACAACAGTCTTACCAGTCTTCATATCTATTTTATGATGATTGTAATGAATTTATGAAGAACTCTACATTTTTATTTTTCTGCTACTTCCAACCTTTACATTAAATATATTCCTTCCCTGTCGTACCTCATCCTAAAACAAATATCTTTATGTTCTTTCAAAATTCCTAGGAGAAACAAGAATTTCCTCAAATCGTTATAAAAAATAATTCCATAAACACAAAATGCAAACTGAACTTAGACAGCTATTGACAATTTCAGCTTGTATCAACAATATTTCTGGGTTACACTGGTTGAGCTCTCTCCTAAAGAGCAGAGAGCCTTCCAGCCCTGTGTGTGGACAGCAGAATGTCCAAGACCTGAGTAAAGATATAATAAAAATAATTGCACATTGCTTTTCCTACACTCCATCACTCAACTGCTGCTCGGGGAAGCCAGATCAACCTCAGCCTTGCTTACACGGTTGGCTTTGCCTAGCCTGTGTGCTAGTTATAGTAAAGTACAAATCGCCTTAAAATTAACCAAGTGCTTCCCATGAAGTGCTAGAGGGTAATCAATAAGACACTTTTGACTGGGAAGCATCAGAAATTCCAGCAGTACAGAAAGGAAGGAGCTTGACGGGGCGATGATATAGGAAGTCTTATGGGAAGTAGGAGGATTATTTTCAGTTACAATGAGGCAGTGAGTTCTGAAATGGTTACTGACACTGACATATTCATCAATGGCTTAGCTATGGCTTAGCTGTAGATAGAACTTGTAAAATCAGTCATTGGAGGCAATTTCAGAAGCACACATAGTTTTTCTTTATAATTTTTCCATAGAGCCAAGAACGCGATTCATTAGCATTACTCAAAGAAAAGAGGAAACAGGGTATAACAGAAATCTATTAGTTCAGGGCAGCTTTAGTACAGTCTGAAAAGTCTTTCCTAAAAGAATATCATTTTTATGCATTTAACAAACACAGTGCTTGTTATAGTCAAGGAACTATTCTTTATAATTTATAATGATTAATTTATTTAGTTTGCATAACAGTCTTAGGAGACAGGTTCTATTGTTATCTGTATTTTACAGTCAAGAAAATAAAAAAATCTAAGATCTAGCATTTGAAATCATAACACCATGAGGGAGAAGGATGAAAGGGTGACATTGATCAAGATGCATTGTGCTTATAAACTGACATTTTGAGTTAAAACTCCTTTGCACAACTACTAAGATAAAAATTAATTTATAAAACGAAAGTATAACCAAGAACATAAGAATATGATACCTATTCCACTTAAAAAGATATTCTGTAAAGAAGCTCTCCAAAATGGATGCTTAAGTAGAGACAAATCACAAAACTCTGTCTTAATGTTGTAACTGTATAGTTTTTATCATTCTTAATCGGTTAATGAATATAATAATAAGAAATAAAAATAATAACTTTGAAATCATATTTCAGAAACATTTATCTTGGTACTAGAGTAAAAGTTTGGGATAGAGAATTGATTTTTATTACTGTAGATTATTATTATTATTATTATTATTACTACCAGCCCTGGGACTTGAATTCAGGTCCTGGGCACTAAGTTTCTTTTGCTCAAGGCTAGCGCTCTACTACTTGAGCCACAGCACTGCCACTTCTGGCTTTTTCTGGTTATGTGGTACTAAGGAATTGAACCCAGAGCTTCATGCATGCTAGGTAAGCACTCTACCACTAAGCCACATTCCCAGCCTCTCTACATTATTATTGTAAATGTTAGGACTTCTTTTGCTCCTCTCATGTAGCAACTTAAATGATAAATAAATGTGTTTAAAAATGTTCATTTGTGGTGGAACATGAACATATTAAAATAATTGCCTTGAAATATTTCCTTACTGATTTTCCAAATGCAGTGCTAAAATTCATGTCCTTATCATTGAGACGGAGTCACTATTGGCATTTCAGATATCTGTTGAGAATGAGTAAATATTGGTAGGGAAAGAGCAACTATAAACTGAAATTTGGCAAGGAACAAAGGCTAAGATCAGAAATAATAATGTTGCTCCAATTTCACAGGATCATTCAGCTTGGCTGGAAATATTCAAGCTCAAGGAACTAACAAGCTAAATATTTAAGACAACACTTGGCACAAGATCTCAAATATTTTGGAGCCAATATGTTAGTAATTCTTAAAAGCAGAAACAAATACGCCAACATTTGGCAGGAAATAAAGGTCTATTAATCAACAAGTTATTACTGAATTCTCAAAGTAACTCCACACTGAATTCTCAGACTTAAATCTGTCAAAGACCTTAACTTTCTAGAAACTAAGGTCCAATGGCCATAGAACATAGCTAGAAGGCCAAAAGTTCATTTATAAACCAGGGAGAGGAATGAATAAAAGACTACAAGTATTATGCTTAAATAAAAGTATAAAGAGGACACACAGTTACAGTCAGTTCCTTTAGCATCTATAACATATTCAAATTAGCAAACTACATCTATAAAACTAGAGGAATATCCTTTACCAATTGGGAAACAAAGGAAAAACTGTCATGAAGCTTCCTAAATAACTTCTAAATTACTAAAAATACATAAAAGAGGAAGCTATATTTCTTGAAGGGGTACAAATTTGAGTACAATATAAAATTGGGAAAAATCTATGGCAGAAATGTTGCCTCTTCACATTTACAAGTAGCAATGACACTGTTGCTCACCGCAATCTAGCTTGAGATCTGAGGATCATGTTTGAAGCCAGCCTGGCAGGAAAGTCTGTGAAACTTTTATCTACAATTAACCACCAAAAAGCTATAAGAAGAGCTGTAGTGACATGGTACAAGCAAAAGATGATGAAGGACCATGTCCAAGCCCTGATTTCAAGCCCCGGAAGTGCCTACCCTTATCCAGTGCAATTCCAATACGTGCTTCTCTCATGGCCTCAAGAAATGCATTGTGGGTGCAGGGGAGGGATTATAGTCGTGGAGATGGGAGGGTATGGATAGTAGGGGATAAACAAAGGAGGAGGCAACAATGCTTGATAAGAAATGTACTCATTACCTTGCTCATGTAATTGTAACTCCTCTGTACGGTGTTTTCACAATAAAAAACATTAAAAAAGAAAGAAAGAAAGAAATGCATTGTCCCTTACAGGAACCCCTGGCCACTGGAGACTCCCAATATGGCTTGTCCAAATTGAGATGTGGAGCCTGGTGCTAGTAGTTCACGCCTGTAATCCTAGCTACTCAGGAGACTGAGATCTGAGGATCACAATTTGAAACCAGCCTGGGCAGGAAAGTCCTTGAAACTCACTATTTCCAATTAAGTACCAAAATGCTGGAAGTAGCAGTGTGGCTCAAGTGTTAGAGCACCAGCCTTGAGTGAAAAAAGCTAAGGGATTGCACCCAGGCCCTGAATTCAAGCCTCATACTAGCACATGTGCACATACATGCACACACACAAATGTGGATGTGTTTAGTTGTATACTAGAATACTGCATGATTTCTCTTAATTGTAGATGTTAAAGAATTTGATCTCAAAGAAGTTCAGAGTACATTTGTAGTCTCCAGAGGTTGGGAAAATAGGAAGGGATGTGGGATAGGGAAAAGTTGAGAAATGAGGCTAATTTACAGCTAGAAATGAGCAGGAAGCTCTGGTGGACTGTTGCACAGTAGGGTGCCCTAGATAACAATACTGCACTGTACACAGAGAAATGACAAACATTTGAGGAGATAAAGATGTTCAACCTGATCTAAACATCATACAACATATACATAGATCAAAACATTATGTATAGCCAGGTACTATGTAAATTTCCTCTCTATATTTTTAAATTTATGTTATTGTTATTATAGAGGTGATGTACAGAGGGGTTACATTTAAGTTTCTATGTTTTTATTTAACCAGTTAAGGACTTTAACTAAGGGGAATATGCATACTGGATGTCAAAGGTGATATGGAAAAGAACACAAACTATTAATATTTTTAAGTGATTGTGTGTTTAAATTATGATACCTTGGGCACACTGGGCTATCTGTAATATATTGCTAAAATTAATTTGGTTGTTTCTTTTTATTATTTGTTTAATGCTGTGCCATATTAGAACATATTTAATATATTGTTACATATTATATATATATATATATATATATATAATACACACACATATGCTTTCTACTATTTCTTTACACCTGAACCCAATAAGGGCTTCAGGTGACCCCAATCAGACTGCCCATGAGGACTGCGGTTTGAGTCATTTCACAGGGCTGAGCCCAGCCCCTGGTGCCACAGTGGGAAGTCTCAGACTCCCTGAGCAGTAGATTGCTTTTTAGAAATGCCAAGGAGAAACCACTTGATCAGCCATAAGTCAGCATCCAGTAATGGAGAGATTAATAAATGAGTTCTCAGGGAACAGGCCTATTCATGACTTCAAGCCTGTCACACTCATTCTGGAACCAATCACGAAAACTAATAAATTAAATGCAGAGCACGATGTTCATACATT